AGATACATGTGTTAATATTTCAGTTACATGGACGTAATTGAATAAATTTGATTCAATTGAAAATACTTCTAAATCTTCTAAAGGGAAATTAAATGTTGTTTAAACAAGCTGTAGATGCTGATAGCTGTAGGTGGGAAGGATCACCTGTCATGGTCCATGTTACACTGGATAATAATAACACAACTTTTTTATAGGCGACTCTCTGGACACTCAATGTCACCAAACATTGGTTAAAAACAACACAACACATTATGTTATTGATATGAGAGTGAAAGGATAAAGTACTGCCGAAGGACGACACCCAGACTCTTAACCTGTGGGGAGCATGAGACAAGTTGTCAGTGCTAATTTAGAAACTGCTAGTTTTTGACAGTGTTGATTTAGAACCATTGAGGAGAACATCAGATTTGTCATTGTTTAGTTTGAGAAAATTGGAATACAACCAGGATTTTATTTCTCTTAGGCAGTCAGCAGGAGGTGGTTTTACTGGAGAGGAAGAGCTGGGTATTGTCAGCATATTATATTCTGCTTAAGGAAGATATTGCCAGAGGAAGAAGGTATATGATGAAAAGGAGGAGCCCCAAGACAGAGCCCTAGGGCACACCTGAATGATGGAAGAAGCCTGGGATGAGAAGAATTTAAGTTGGATGAACTAACTGCGGCCTGAGAGATAGGATCTTAACCAGTGAAGGGTAGTGTGGGTGATTCTGATAGAAAATAATCTATTGTTGGTGATTTCTATGAGTGCAGTTTCTGTGCTGTGGACAAAAAACAGACTGGAAGTGTTCGTAAAGATTATTAAGCGATATTGAAATGAAGTTGAGTAGCTACTATTTTCTCCAGGATTTTGGAAATGAAGGGAAGATTAGAACAGGGAAGAAAGTCGATAAAATTGGAAGGAATGGGACCAGGTTTTTTTTTAGGATTGGGGTTCTGTCAACAGTTTTGAATGATATAGGAACTGTAACAGTGCTGAGCAAGGAGTGGGTGATGGGAGAAAGGAGGGAGGCCAATGAGGGGAGGCAGGATTTAACCAGAACTGTACGGGGGTCCAGCTGACATGTGGTGGGCTTGGATTTATGAATGATGTCAGGGATTTCTGAGAGGGTGGGGAGCTTGAAGGAAATGAGTCGTAGCAGATTGATACCATAGAATTCAAATTGAACAGTAAATGTATGTATCAGTCTGGTTTATGCCAGGTTACCATTTTCTATGTTTTTGGTAAAGACAAAATAGATAAATCTTCAACTCATATGACAACTACAAAACTCTGCTTGTCACTTTTGTGTCGCTATGACAGTTTGTCGCTGTCATTCAGAAGGAAGACCCCCATCCCCTCCCACCCCCACCACAGGAGCACCTTCCAATTATATCTTGGTAGAATTAAGGCTCTGGAACAAGGTTACGTGTACTTAATGCCATTCCTCCTAAATTGCTACTCCAAAAAAGACAGAAGAGGAGAGGCAGAAGAGACCTAAGGTTCCTTAAGAAGTATAGTCTGTTTCATTCTTTGATTAGAACCAAAACTAGGCAGAATGTCCTCCAAAATATTGAAACGATCTATTGGGTCAGGCTATGGATGAGGAGGTGCTGTAGAGGCCTTCAAGGCTCTAGAGCAGGCAGCATCTGGACCTGGAGCCTTTAAAGTTATCTCTTTACCTGACATCTAGAGACAGACAGGTTGAAAGGTAGACAAAAGGTGCAATACCGTCTTTTCATTGGGTTTTGAACAAACCCATAGATGCAGGAGGGAAGTGAAGTTCTTCTGAAAAAATACATTAAACTGGCAGAGCTACTACAACATGCATCTATCTTAAGCCTCTTAGAAAAAAGCAAATGCAAAGCATGTAATTTATGTACATTTATACACAATTTCGCTTTAAATTTTCAATACATTTCTCTTTTTTTCAAAAGGGTTCACAGTAGGCAGCTTGCCTTCATAGTAAATGTGCGTTGCTCCAGACCAAATCCTTCTGGGAAGTAGCAGGCATTGAAGTGGTCCACATCTGTAATGTCAGTTATTTGCACCGAGCTAAACTGCAGCAGGTACAGACTGTAGCCCTGCCACAGAGCCAGCTGGTAGAGCTAGAAATACAGAAAAGGAATCAAATGTGAAGTAAGATCCAAAAAAAAAGTCAAAAAATATCAGATGATTTCTCAGCCTCAGATAGTTTCAGTAGACAGTGTTATAATTTATATAGGTAAAACCTTCTATAAGCAGAAACATATCACACTCTTTATAATGACTGAAAAATATATGAATTAATGATGGTGTGAAACAATAGCAGGGCTTTGTCATAAGGTACCTTGAGCCCACAAAGAATATCTGCAACTTGCAACATCTGCTCCTGGTAAAACTCGTCTGGTAGTCGGTGTTTGTACTTTTTCTGTATATCCAAGAGCATTTTTAGCCTATAAAAATGAAAAAAGAGAGACTTTATGTTTGAAAATCTGACTAGCTACGTATATGAATAAACATAATAAAATAATTTTGTCTCCTTTGCTATTAGTGAGCGTATCACTTCATTGTTAGAAACTTCTCAGGGTAAAGGCTTAGCTAACGTTTACCACTTACCCTTTAACACACACGCTATGGTCGCGGCTGGAGTCCATTTGTTTCATGAGCGTCAAAAATGATTCAATTTCTCGTCTAAAGCCTAAAAGAACAGGATTTTTCCCGTCGAGCTGGCCGTAATATGTCGCTGGTAAGTCCATTTCTACAAAGCAAGTAAAGCGGACTGAAAACTGGCTACATGTTTTAGAAGGTCACCATGGTAACGATGAGGGGCAGTTAAAGTGACATTTCACCAACTGCGATCCTTTAACGTTACATTTAAAACGTTTAACCCTTTTAACGACTGCTGAAAATAAAATATAATATAAACATACCGGTAATTTTGAAATGAATTATTTTAAACAAAGGTTGAATTGATAAAAATATAATAATAATATTATATTTGGGATAATATATATATATATATATATATATATATATATATATATATATATATATACTTAGTTTATTAAGTTTAGGTTTAAATATTTTACCGTATGTCCTGGACCGAGATATCAGATGTATTTCCAGGGATCTGCTGTAACCAATCCTCCAGTTTGGGGGTCACTGCCACGAGGGCCCTATTGATGCCCTGACCTTCCAGGTTTTCTCCAGCTCTTTGCTGAGCACCTGGTGTTTCTCTAGTTTCTAATGTTCTTTTTTCCTGATGTTGCACTCACTTGGTATTGCTATATCTATCTATCTATCTATCTATCTATCTATCTATCTATCTATCTATCTATCTATCTATCTATCTATCTATCTATCTATCTATCTATCTATC